GGTCACTGAACTCTGAAACGCTTCCTGTATTTCGATCTCTCGCGTATTTTTCTGTCCACTGTATAACAGCTTAAGTATTTTAAACAGCAGTGATGCAGTGTATATTTTATGCGTCATCTTTCATTCGACAAAAGTTGTTTAAGCACCTGAGGGTTTGATGTTGGATATAAAAGTGTTTGATTTTTATCAGTATTTTAATGTTAGGGAAAGATGATATGTAGAGCATTTATATCATTAATAAATTTTCGCATGAAAAATGTGTTCAATTTGTTATTTCGTTAGCTCTTTTAAGTCCTTTAGAGTTTTGTGGAATTTAAGTTTAATATAAATAAATCTTTACAAATTTTTCTGAACTGAGAAGAGAAGTATTTTGCAATTTCTGTCTGTAAAAACATATAAAAATGTCTCACTTTACATGGTCTCCAGAAAAAAAGGAAAATATATGTCCCAGAGAAATGATAAAAATGGGAGATTTGAAAATCAAAGTTACAAACAAAATTTGTATAATAATTCAGAGTAGCAACTTCTGATCTTTTAAAGTGTGATGTCATGTATAATGTGCAGAATTGTAAATGTAAGTTAAGTGTAAAAGGATATGTTACTTTAAGAAAAACATGAAAATGACTGGTTTCCAATTCCGCAAAATTTGACTATAGAATCATTCTTATAAAGAGTCATAAAAATGATTTCAATAAAATAAGCACTAAAAATCATTTAAATAATGGATTTAGAAGGAGAGCCATCGGTAGACATGAAATCTTAGTCAAAGATCGTTTTTATGTCCATTACCAAGAATCCCGGCCAGGCTACACGTGAGCCATGTGAAGAATTGATATATAACTTTTAAGTGTATAGCGCCTTAGAAACAGATCTGATTAGCGATTAAGCAAAGCCCGTCCGTCCGCTTAGGACATCAAGGAAAGAAAGCACCACAAAAAATGTGCATTGCCTTTTTGTATAATGCAGTTAAACCAAGATTTAAGGAATAAGGAAATAGCAAAAATATATGCCAGAATAACCAGGAGCGGATGGAGATAACAGGAATTGAGGAAATTTCCGGAGGCGTTAATGCCTATCATGCATCATGTTACCTGATATTGATGTTTTAAGGTGAAACATCAATAATAACTGTAGAAGTCATGCTACCTCTCCCAAAAAAAGATAAACTCAGATGAAGAAAAATATTTATTGATACTATAAAAAAAAAAAAAAAAAAAAAAAAAAAAAAAAAAAAAAACCGATAGTAACTCAATATCTTAACCCCATCATCATTAGCTCATCGTAAATTCATAATTGGATCTAATTCTTTACTCCATTGCGTAGAAGTAAGGAATTTTAATATTTCTACCCGATTGATTTTATAAAAAGTTATAAAGATACCTACATCCTTATGCAAGTAGACTAGTATTCGTAAAGATTGACTTTCACACTGGCGTCCTGGAAGTCTTTGAAAGAGTTGTTTTCCTTACGAAACCAAAATTCACGATTTCACCTGTACTTTTTGCCTTTGCCGTTAAACCTTCGCATCTAGCGAACGACAGGTAACTTAAAAAGAGGTCCCGGCACCCTTTGCCCAATCCAATTAGATCAACCCCATCTGCTTCTGGAGGTTAACGAAATCTGTTAAATGCTTAGAACCTCTAATGTTATAATCTGGCTCTACATAGAGAAATGATGATTACGGAATTCTGCCGAAACTTCATTGCTGTTTCTGGAACAGCAATTTCCAGGCAAACAATGTACAGATTTCTAGCAAATAGTTCTTTATGTCTGATAACTAGCTATGTGTCTCCCCTTCAGTACACTGCAGAAAAAAAAAGGCCATCTTTAATAGAGCCAGGTAAGCTGTTCTTAGATTGTAATATTGTTGCCATGTGCTCTAAGAGGGCCCAGGGCTCACTATTATCATTTCACTGTCAGAGAAATTGACCAATTTGGTGGATATGTAATCCTTGTATGCAGAGGCATCATTTGATGGCTGTATACCATTGCATGTCTTCGATGTGGCCAGTGCAAATGGCACCATATAAATAAGGTTCTTGAACCTAATGTGTGTGAAGTTTCGAACTATTGTAGGGAAATTCGTTTAATGGACAAGACTATGCAGATTTTAACTGGTCAGTGTTTTTTGAAGATTTTGGGCCATATAGCATGATCAGCATAACCGTTGGACTGAAATTCTGTAGAATTGTTATCTAGGCCAGGAGTTTTCAACGCAAAGAAACAAAGTATTTTTAACTATTAAATTCAAAAATTAAAACCCCAACATCCTGATTGAATTCCTTCTCTAACACTCTTAAATTTATGCAATCTGAGCTTTGTTCAAGAGTGGTGGTGGTAGTAGTACTTTGTAGTGGTGGTACTAAAGATTTTCAGTTTTTGTTTAATTGGTACGCGTTAGTCAAAAGGTTGAGAACCGCTGATCTAGACAGTTATCTGGTATTATAGCTTGTGGCAGTGCAATTCCATAAAAATGCGAACAACACCAAAAAACAATTTCACAACCACAATCAGAGAGTCGACCCTAAGTTATATACCACCAGTTCAGATTTTTTAGGACTTTTCGCCCCCTTGCAGCCCCACTAGAAAGGGGTCGCGACCCATAGTGTGAATACTGCTGGTATAGAATATTTTTGGATGCTCTAGGAAGAGCCATTAGCATGATGTCAACACCCTCCCATGACCTTCCAGGCATTAAAATCCACGCTTTTAGAAGAATGAGTGTTGTTGCCACAAGCTATAATCCAACAACCTCAGAGTATAAAGGCCCTTGTGATGCATGTAAAACTAAGTGGAATGGCTGCACTCCTCATTAGCGAGGCATTTCTGGAAATAAGTAATTAAAATAAATAAATAAATAAATAATGATAATTTATTTATTTATTTATTCGTTTGAGAGTTTTTTATTTATGCTACGTATTATTTCTGCATCGTGGTTGTATTTTATTTTTAATTGTGTAAAATAAAAATTTACATACTAAAAATGTTTCCATACATTTGTTCTAAAGTGTTCTTATAACAAGTCATTTATATTGAAAATTTAATAAAGTAGTTGCAGAAGTAAGTGGAAAATGATCTTGTTCCGTGAATGAAGCTTTTTTTCTTGGGGGAAAATAACAAATCAGTATTTTTTTTAATTGTATTTAAATGTTTCTTAATGCTTTTGCATTACAGAGTTAGTAAAACTTCAGTTTTGGATTAGATTCTTTCCTTATTCATAGTGTTGCGTGCGTGCGGGTTCTTAATAGACGGAATGCACCCAGGTCCAATCATAGGTTGATAAAATTTAATTTATCAAAAGAAACACTTCCGAGTTCTGGAACTTTCAAAGAAATACTCTTACAGATGTTCACAGTAACACAGAGTACAATCAATAGTTGCACTTCAAAATACTAAGAATGTTAATAAACACAACACGAGCAAAGCGCATCTAAAAGGCGGAAGTTTTCAACACTCCGAAGTCGCTCTAAGCCAGGGGTCGGCAAACCGTGGCTCTTCCCCAAAATAGTACATGCTAACGCGCTCACGTAAAAGCAAGAAATTTGAATTAGTATACCATTCAATCGCAATTTTAACTTGAATGATCAACCAAATAAGGTAAAAATGAAATTTAATTTCAAAATATCAGGATTTTTAACTTCTAAACCTTTCAAATTTTAAGTTTTTTCTAGTGTCTTTAAGAAAAACTTTCCTAGCAACCGAATTTAAGCAACGTAAAATGCATAAACGATGACTGGGTTGCATATAATATGAGAAAACTTTTAATTTGGAAATGTCTAATACCAAAAACCCAGATATTTTTACAAGAAGTTTCATTTTTACGTTATTTGGTGTATCAAGTTAAAATTGCCATTGCACTGATTCTAGTAAGATTTGTAATGATGTATTAATAAATCGGACATTGTACTGATGTATTAATAAATCGGACATTGTACTGATTTCAGTGCAATGGTACCGACAAGAATGAACAACACTGATATCCGCGTTCGATTGTGTCCCTGCCTCGATGGGAAGCACTCGTTTAGGTGATCTATTACTCCATCCTACTGAAGAATTGCTTCTATCGCCAGTATAATTGTTTATCTTCTTGTTTTACGCTTCACCACCTTCACTACTTTTTCGAAAAAACTACAGGCTCGAAAATCAGCTAGTTCTATTACATCGGAATAGCGACTCTACGCGGGCACCCAACAACGGCAATACGCATTTCGCCTGAACCGAAGTTCCCCCCACCTCCGGCGACGGGCGCACAATTCATTCACGAGTTGAGTGAATGTTATTACTCTTGTGAGCCAGTTAATCAGGAGGCTTGTTGTCAGAGCCAGATTTAATAGAGGCCCTTTATAAGTCTGTTATATTTTAATACTATTTGTACTGTATTGTAATTTGGGGGAGGGCAAGACAGTGGAGGCCCTAAGCTATAGCTTGCGTGGCTTATACGTAAATCTGCCCCTGCTTGTTGTGAAGTGGTTAACGCATGAGGTTTTCCCTGTTTTATTTAAAAATCACTTAAAAGGGTTAATGAACTCTGGGTGTAAACTTGCATTTCTTGTTTCCTTTTGTCCCAGGATACTGTTGTTTTCTTGCCTAACTGTTGTTGCCTGGTCCGCAATCATTTCGCTATCTCTGGCCCAATTTATTCCTTCTGGTAATAACATGGCTACAAAGAAGAAGCAAAGAAACACGAAAGATGAAATCCACTGTGAATTTCAAGTTGAATGGACATATGATTGTATTGAAACTATCTACCTGTATACAAAATTCATATCAAACAAGAAATATTTGAACTATTTTATAATTTCAAAATTGGGGGGGGGGACTCTAAAACCTTTGGAATGCTTTTAAGCATAATATTTTTATAATTCAAACTTGTTTATATATATATATATATAAGTTATATAAGTATTTTATTATTATTTTTATTAAATATTTCAGAGGAAAAATTTATGTCGCTTATTTGAAAGTTTTCATAAAAAATTTATGTAAATAATTGTGCATGTTTATGTTTGTTTATTTTTAGGTCTGCCCTTCAAACCCTTCATAAAGCTAGTTCCAAGGCAAGGGAATATAATTATTTCAAATGTGGGGGTACTCATCAGTGGGTTGATTATTATGAGAAACGGATTAACTCTGATAGATCATGCCTTAATGAATGGTAAATAACATGTTATATTAAATTTTTCATGGTATAATTTTATATTTTGTGTATTTTTGCAAAAATTATTAGTTTCCTGGTGGTTATACATTTACAACAATAGTTTATTTTTAGATGGCTTTGCTTTTTTTCCAGTTAGGCATTACTTTTGATAATGATTACTGTTTAAGGAAATAAAGCCTGTAACTGTTTTGAATATTCGTTTCCTAATGAAGACAGAATCAAGAATATTAATACCATAAATTTTGAGCATAAGACCATAACTATTTATTAGAGAAAAAAAAAGATATAAGTGAGTAATGGTATTATTTAAATTTCACTTATATTATACCATTATTACATGGTATATGATGATTAGTTGCAATAACTTTTATCTTACTGAAATTTATCTGATACAATTTTCTTACTAGTCTCTGTTACCCAAGTCTATCAATTAAAATTACTGGTAACCTTAATACATATAAAATCCTAAACTTTAGAGAATTAACTTCTGATAAGGTTAAAAATCCTGAAAAGAATTTTTTAATATAAAAAATTATAATTTCACTTAAAAGAAATTATTTTAACTTTAATAGAAGTTATATAAGTATAGCTGTAATGAAACATTGTGTTGTGTATTTGAAATTATGCTGAAGAGCCAAAACATTATGACCACCTATGCGGTAATGTGTTGCACGACCTTTGGCCTACAAAACATCTGCAACTCAGCTTTTCATAGATGCTACAAACTCTTGGTAGATGACTGGAGACGAGTTGTATCAAATGTCTCAGCAGCAGTCATGCAAAGTCAAGATATTCTGACATGGGGATGTTTTAACTCTGAGCTGCTACTCCACAGCATCCCAAATGTGTTCTATTGGGTTAAGATTCAGCGATTTAGTATCCAGGACATTAATTGGAATTCATGCTTATGCTTCTCAAACCACTTCAACACAATTCGAGCCTTGTGACACGGGCAATGTCCTGTTGGAAGATTCCATTTCCATTTGGGAAGATAGACATCATGTAAGGCTGCAACTGATCTGCAGTTATGTTCAGATAGTCCACAGCTTTCATCATCTGTTCTGTCACAACCAATGGTTTTAGAGCTGCCCATAAGAATGTGCCCAAAGGATAGTTCCGCCACCACCAGCCTGAGTATGACCTGCTCACAGGAGAGGAGCAACTGTTTGCCTGGTAGATGGCATACCCTGACATGACCACTGGCATGATGAATCAGAAATTATGATTCGTCCAACCAGGTATCTGTCTCCCACTTATCCATAGTCTAGTCTTGATGTTCCCCGGCCTAATGTTGGTGTAGCTGACAGTAAGGTTTGGTCAACAGAGGCATACAAGTGGGATGTCTGCTGTGCAGTCCCATACCCAACAGTGTCCACTGAACTGTGTGTTCTGAAACACTTGAATTTGGACCTGCATTTTGTTGGGTTTTGTCAAGCTCAGCCACTGTTTGGCACAGATTTAGCTGTACCAAGTAGGACAGTCTCTGACATCGTTTTTCTTTGATGACGTGGTGGACATCCAACACCTTGGCATCTGCTGTTTGTTTCACTGCCTTTATCCACTTTGCATAAATTCTAACAACGTCAGATCGTAAACAACTTTATTTACTAACTAAACAACATTTGTTAAGTAAAACTTATAAATATCATGCATATATTTCCTACACAACTTTGACATCAAGAGCAGTTAGGATTAAACTGGATTTAATAATGAAAGCCACAACTGTGCAGTTTCAGAGAAAGTTGTTCCGAGTCTTAAGGCCATTATAATCTGCCCTCTATCAAATGTGCTTTGATTAGTAAAATTGCATATATAATTTTCTCATGTTAAGTTTTAAATATAAAAGCACCATAAATTACAAAATTCAGTAAGATACTCTTTTGAAAATTAAAATTTAATAAAGCTAGTTCCAAGGCAAAAAGTTAAAAATTTCAAACTAAATATTATGTCAACAAATAATAGGAAAGTAGGCATTGATATAAAAATAAAATAATTACAACTTTTCATGCTCTGAACTAACTAAATTCCTTAAGTTATATTTTTATTACTTTGCTTAAAATTTTCTACTTTTAAATGAATTTTGATTAATCACATAAATTTATTTGCAATCAAAATACAACTATCAAGTACTTTTAGGCATGCTATGGATGATATTGAGTCAAGGCGTCCACCATCACCCGATACCGTTCGTTTACAGTAAGTTTACTTTGTTTTTCCTTTTTATGTATATGAAAAATCCAATAATTTTTTATGATAAATGTTTGTCAGTAAAATTTATTTTTTAGACCAACAGAACGTGAAGAAACAGAAAGGCATATAAGGACTAAACTAAAAGAATTAATGATGTCTGTAGATCTGGATGAAGTCACTAGCAAATATGTAGGTATTTTTTCTTAACCTCTATATTTTGTTTACAATAATTTTTTAATAATCTTTCCAATCCATAAATGCATGAAGTGGTGCTTATACAACAACAACATTTCATACATATCATTATAATCCTTTTGTTTAAAAAAAAGTTGTATTGTTCAATTTGCTGTAGAATCTTTCTTAACCAGCATCAGTGGGATCTTGCTGATGTTGTATAAATGAATATATACTTTTAGAACATACCTGTTTGTATTTTGTGCTACCACCTGTATAAACTGCAGTATGCAGCATAAACTGCAGGAAGTCCATTAATCATGTATTTTAATCTCTCAGCCACAATTAAATAATATTGAAAAATCACAAATTATTCAAAATTAAGCAAGATTTAAAAATTACTACACGTATTATTACATAAAAGTTGTGAATTTCTTAATGTAAGGAAGCATTTGCCTGCTGACAAAATTGTCAATGTAGTTTTAAAAATTTGCCTTGTATACAAGGAAGCTTCATAACATCATGACAGACATAGATGAACATTTCTTGAACAGAAGTTTTCAAGCCTTTGTCAACTTCCTTCCACATTACTTTCTTCCTCTGTTTGTTGTCATTATCTTTAGATTTTCCCTTCTCCTCTACCAGTACATGTTCAATTATTTCATTGCCATCTTGAGAGAGTCTGACGAGAACAAAGTTGTCTTCATTCACCTAAGCATGCAACTCCTCTTTTCGTCAGGTTAGTATTAACTAACCTTTTCTGAACTTGTAACTAAATCCAAAATATCAGCCATGACTGCCAGATGTGTTTTTAAAACCAAGAGAACCTTTGTCAGAAAACTTCTTATCTATGAACTTGATCACAATTTATGTTAACAGCAACATACACTGAAACAAGCATTATGACCATTAGTAACACATTGCATGACCTTTGTCCTGCAAAATAACTACAACTTGCCTTGGCATCAATGTCTTAATTTCTTGGTAGATGATTGGAGACACTTCAGTTTGTTGGCTAATTACATGCTTTTTTTTACTTCTGTGTACGGAGTAAAAAGGAAGTATTCTAATTGCGAAAAAATTCAGGCAGCATATTTCAACGAAAATATCCATTTTGACCGCTATCGAATGCAATTTAACGATGTTTTTGTATGATATCTGTACATAAGGACAGAATAAAAGACTCGTTTCCTCCCAAAAAATTATAATACTGCTTTAAAATGAATTCTGAAGAGAATTTTTAGTGGTGTCTGTACGAATATATGTATGTACGTATCTTGCATAACTCAAAAACGAGTAGCCTCAGAACGTTGAAATTTTGTATATAGGACTGCTATAACATGTAGATGTGCACCTCATATTTTGGTTGCAATCGGCCGCACCAAACTTCAAAAATGACCGCTTTAAAAATTATTGAATTATGTTGTTTTTATCTTCCGGTTAAGGTTTTTATGCCCTTAGTAAATGTGTGTGCAATATTTTTAGAATTATCAACAATTTTAAAGTTATTTAAGTGCCGCTAAGCCTTTTCTATTAACAGCGGCCATTGATTTGTTTACATTTGAAACAGCAGACTAGTGGATTTGTTGCCAATCTAGAGTAACTTAGCTTTGCAACAACAAAGATAACGCCTTCATTTATTATTGCCAATTAAATCATGCTTAATCCTTTCTGGAATATCTATATTAAAATTTATAAATATCTATGATATTTTGAGTTTTATGTATTTTTGCCTTCTCGCGAAGTGAGAACTGAATTAATTGAATGAGAAATACTCAATCGTCTGTGAAAAACTCTTTCTTTTTTGTTTTGTTTGCTTAATTTCTTTTATAGATCATTCTAGCTTTATTATAGTATTTGAATAGAACATGTAGGTAATTCTATTCTTTAAATGATATAAATTTTGTGCATTATGAGTTATAATATGAACGAAATATAATACTGTTAAGTGAATCTAGCACCAGAATGTCGCTATCGTATACAAATACTGAGTGAATTTTAAAGAATGATTTATTCTATTGTGGTTTATGCGCTGTCGGCGAAGAAGTTTTAATTCAATCCAATAAGTTTAAATTAAATGCAAGAAAAAATGCATATAATTTAATATTCCGTACAAGGAAGTCATGTGGTGTACACATCAGATTTTTTTAATCTCATAGACCTAAATTTTGGATTTAAATTTAGAAATTCAAAAGTGCCATTATTTTAATATACTGTTTAATTAAGTGTCAGTTTCATGAAATTTTACTGCAACTGTATTTAGTTCATAATCCCTGGTATATAAATCAGTAGACCAATGGAAATAAACTAATCGGCTACCCCTTTTTTTGGGGGGGGTAATAATGCTTTTGTCTACTATTTAATTATATTAATGAAAAAGAAGCGTCATTTTATCTCTTTAGAAACACATGCCATTGAATAAATGAGCTCATACTGCTTTGATTCTAATTAAGAGCAGAACAATCAGTATTCCATTGTACTGTTTTATAACCAATGGCAGTAGGTTGCAAGAAATTTTAATTTTCTCCTGTTTCTTTCATGGGATATGACTGTAATTTATAGTGTCACATTTTATTTCATGTTTATTAAAATGTTCTTGTCATTTTTTAAGTTCTTTAAAACTTTGTAAACTGAAGCTAATCCTTCACAAGAAATCACTATCTATCATGTGAAGGCAAGCAGTGACACCACTTTACATCAGTTCTTGTGAATATAGTTCAAAATTTTTAAATCTGATTTTGAATATATGTCAAATTTTTATTAATAATCAACTAAGCAAAAATATTTAAAAGAAAATCCACTGAAAAATAATATATGAATAAATAAATCATTTAATATATTTAAAGTACAATAATCCCCCCTTAATGCATGTTTGCTTAAGGCAGACACTTGGTTAACATAAACGTAATTTCGATCCTGGCAGCAATATGCATGATCTAACAGGAAGTTTTATCGGTTAACATGAATTTCGGTTTGAAAAATTATGAATGTAAAAAACTGTGACACTTTTAACTTTTAAAGTTTTTCATGTTTTCTGTTGTTGTTTCTGTGCTGTCATTTAAAATTTAAGTGAAGTGTGTTTGCAATAAAATATTTATATAGATTTACTGGACTGTAGTTTAGTTACATATTGTTACGAAATGTACAGACTAAGGTAAGATAGCTTCCCCGCAAAGCAGTTATAGGGTTGCCATAAAATGGCAAGGAAAAGCATGGTTGCCACATTTGGTGAGAAATCGTCCATTTGGCGACGTTTTGGTTATAAAATTGGCGATATACTATGGACGAATGGAGAACCTTCTGGAATGAATTCTTACTGGTTTAGCCCAGAATGTTCTCGAACACAAGCCGAAAGCTATATAAACCCTGCTGGTCCTGTCAGTTATTGTGTGTGCCTCATCTAGCGAGCTGATAGTCAGCCATTGAGCAAGTGTCTCGAAGTCTAGCGCCGAGGTGGTCGTCGAGTGCATTGAGTGCATCGTCAAGTTTTGTCTTAGACTGTGCTGAGTCGAGAGCTATGCTCTTGTGTATCATCGAGTGCATCACGTGGAAAGTCTCAAGAGTACATGGAGTTCCGACAACGACCAAACAGAATTGGAAGCTGTACTCTGGTGCTTTGCAGTGAAGCTGTCTCCATTGTTATTGCCTGACAGTGTGAAGGCTGTGTCGCTGAAAGTGTCAGCGTGTTTATAACAGTTTTATGGCTGTAAAAGTGATTTTGGAGCTCTCCTGGGAATATTTGTAAATAAAGTGTGTTTCAATACTTCATCAAGTGTCGTCGTTATTCACTCCAAATCTACGAACCCCGTACGAACATGAAGGAAAAAAATAATGTAACAATATGAATTTGCAGACTGTTGACCATGATGGGTTGATGAGGCATACAACCATTGTGGTTTTAACCTGTTGATGGTGAAACTCTTGGCCATTGGCAGTTAATTTTGAAAGAAGCACAAAGCACTGCCAATAAATGGTGAAAGAATTATATTTGATAATGGAAAGTAGCAGGTCGAAATGAATGTTAAACTGGGAACAAATCTAAGCAACTTTACAGTGCTAAGTACAAAGACATCAAAACTTTACTTCTAGAATGGTTCAGCCATATGCTTGCTTCCATTTGTAGACCTATAATTCAGTCAAATGCAAGATTGCAAAAATTTAGACATTAAAGATTTCATTTGTTCTGCTGATTGGCTTTACTGTTTCCAAATTTCATCATTGGGGATATGTGCTGAAGTGTATAAAGTTGGTGAAGAAGGCACAAACAACTAGTTGCGTGAATTTGGTTGACCGGGTAGGAGAAAAGTATGCCTTGAATAATGTCTACAATATGGATGAAATTAGACAGGCTTTTTTCCTGTCTTATTCTCAGAATAAAAGGTGGCAAATGCCAAAGTAGAGAATGCATTAAACAATGTTTAACTGTTGTTCTTGCATATAATGGAGACAGCAGTGATAAACACTGCCTTTGGGTTTATCACACGAGTCCCAGAAATCACATTGTTTTAAGAACATAAATAATATTTTACCTTGCATTTACTATCACTATAAGAAAGCTTGGATCAACTGCTTATCAATTTTTAAGTGGTTTTGTTTTAATAGCCAAATGTTGGCATGTAACAGGTATGTTCTTATGACACTGGACTGGTGTACAACTATAACATACATGATTTGAACTTAACTGGTGTAAAGGTTCAACCCCCCCCCCAATTCAACAAGTTGCCTTCAGCTTTTGAATAAAGGCGTTATTGCTCCTATAAAGAGGTCTCACCCCAAGTGACTTGTGAGCGTTGCCATTTGTGCTGCTGAAAAGGAGATAGAAATGCCAATTTAGAGTATGCTTGATGCAGTGAAAGCTATCACTGCTGCATTCTGGAAATCCATGCTATCACAACACATACAGAATTGTTTCAGCAGAGACTGGAGACATAAAAGCACTAATACCACTGGCGAAAAGTCCTTCGTGTGAGTTTTGAGGAGTTTGTTAGTGTTTCCAGGTGTGTGCTTCAGTGGAACCTGATGTACAAGCTTGTTATGTCTGAGGTGCAAGAAATATCATCAGATGAAATTGAAGAGAACAATATCATTCTGCCCACACACCAGGAAGTGTATATGCCTTAGACACTTTAGAACAGTTTGCTGCAGCATCCAAATTAACCACTAGTTTGATGGAAACCACGAGTGCGGTAGACCATGAAGTTAACAAGCATTTTCGCTCCCATTTGTGATAGCACAATATACAAAAATTTTTCACCAAAAAATTATCTGTGAGTACCTTTTTTTCAAGTTACAGTACAGTAATTTGTGTAATACTATCATGTTTTTTATGATGACATACATAACATAGGGTAGAACATATGTACATATATACTGTAAGTGGCTAATATGTAGGAAAAAAACATTCCAAAAATAAAATAGGAGTTCCCAGTTAACATGAATTTTATTAACATTAAATCTTGATTTTTCAATCCCTTGGAATTTATGTTAATTAGGGTTTACTGTGTTTCTTTTTCCTGCAGTATGAATACAGTAGGTGTTATTTAGCAACCATTATTTAAATAATCTGTTCATTGTCTCCAAAAATTATTGCTTTCCTGAGAAATAATGCATTTATTATCATAATTTGTGTATTCTTCATAACCATAAAAAGCTAATAATTAAATTTGCTTATTGGCAAACACTTTGAGAATTCATAAATTGTTCAGCCCACCAGCGGCCGAGCAGTAAAGTCGCTGAACACTGGTAGTTCGGTCCGAGGTTCGAATCCCGCGAACGGGCTGGCTGCATGGGCGTTTCCGTGGTTTTCCCCATGTGTAACATGTATATGAGCCATTTTCCCTTAGAAAGTCCTCCATGAAAGCATCCCTCCCCTTAGGCAGATAGCCCTAGTGTGCTTTGCCATAATTAAATACACCATAAATTTTTCATATCATCTTTATGGCTAAATAGTCTCTGATATAGCTAATAACTTACATTTGCTTAGTATTGCAGTAATATCATTTTACTATACATATCACAGGGACAATTACTTAATAGCTGTATATTTAGTTCATGTGGGTATCAATGGTATATATTCTTTTCATTCACAGTTTTAATTTTTTTTAACTTATTCTCCAGACAGAATTTCAGTTTCATCAGAGTTCAGTATGTATTTGTAATAAGTTTTCATTTAAATGTGCTTTTTAAAGGCTGTTACTTTTCCACCATTTAATTATATCTTGGAAAAAAAAGTGCATATGCAACTTGTGTATATTCTAAATTATGGAAGATTAATGTGTATATTTCTTAGTAATGAAACTGAAATTAATATTTATATGTTTCTTTAATGTCATTTGCCATTTTGTGTTATTTATATTGAATAACAAACAGAACTTCTAAAATTCTCAAGATTCAAACTTATAAATCAAATAGCACAATATACAATTCTAGTAATAAATAATCATTTTTATTACTTTTATTATAGCCAAGTCAAGAACATATACAGGGAAGTGGTTAAAATAATTTTATTATGTAATCCCTTAACAGGCTTCAGAATATTAAATGTTTTAATAATGTAGGAAAAGAAATAAATACCTCCTAATAAATCCTGTATTTTATAGCTATAGTTTGGCAATAGGAAATGGAAAATACATTGTGCTGATTATGCCTGTAACTTTTAACAGATTCGCACTAGACTTGAAGAAATTCTGGATATGAATTTAAAAGAATACAAGTCATTTATTGATCAGGAAATGCTGACAATACTTGGCCAAATGGATGCTCCAACGGAGATATTCCAGTATCTCTATCTAGGATCTGAATGGAATGCATCCAATTTAGAAGAACTTGTTGTGAATGGGTAAGTATTTAATGGGTGACATGTATATTTTTGATTCATTGGTAAAATAAATTTAGATTCCCTCTTTAATTGTCTCATTAGGCAGTATGAATGAGAGAGAACTAAAACCAGAACCAAATTTTACATATAACATTTAGTCTGCATTAAGAAGAAAAAGTATTCTTCATGAATTTTAATTTCAAATTGTTTAATGTTATTGTAACGCAAATTTGCTAAGTAAACTTATTTATTGTGTCAATTATCATCATATTTTCATTGTAAAAACTTTTTTCACCCTTTTTCCTTTTAGCATTGGTCATATTTTAAATGTAACTAGAGAAATCGATAATTTTTTCCCTGGCATGTTTGATTATCAGAACATAAGAGTATATGATGATGAATCCACTGAAATATTACATTACTGGGATAAAACATATCGTTACATCAGAAGAGCAAAGTAAGTGTATCATGCTTTTTTATTTGATTTACAAATAATGCATAGTGCAAAAGAAAATAAATGTTTCCTAGAACTATTTACATGAACACTATCACTCTTATTTCATTCCAATTTATATTGCTGTAAATATAGATATTCACTGTATAGCAGTCCGAGTCATATTATTCATTTACTTTTGCTTAGAAGGAGAATAAATACCAAAATTTTTATATGTTACTTTTTTCCTTCTCCGTTTTCCAGAAATTATTCAAAATTAGTTCTAGTACAGTAAAGGAAGGAAAATCATGAATAAAAAATTTCTTTAGTAAAAATATCGATAACTGTTAAATAGAATAAATAATGTGATATGAAACCATTTTAGAGGCAGAATTCTTTGCCTTTTTTATTTTTCTATATGTATCTCTTTTCTTATAGAAGCACAATATATTTATAGTCTCTTCTTAAATATAACTAATACATTTATTTATTTTTAAGGGTACTGTATATTATCCTTCCATTTATATTTTGAATTATTTAACTTGAAATGTACCAAGCATTTAGTCACAATCTATGATTTATTTGCTTTAGTATTATATATATATATATATATATAATATATATATTATATATACATTATTCTTCCAGAGATGAAGGTTCAAAAGTTCTGGTTCACTGTAAAATGGGCATCAGTCGATCAGCATCAGTTGTAATAGCATATGTCATGAAAGCTTATGACTGGAATTTAGAGAGAGCATTGGAATTTGTGAAAACTAAACGTGGTTGCATAAAACCCAATTCAGGATTCCTTAAGCAACTGGAAATTTATCAAGGAATACTTGATGCTAGGTAAATGTTTAAATTATTCTTTAATTTTAAATATAGCAGTTTTTTATGCTTTACATGGAAGATACACATATATATAATGCTTTTCTGGCATAGCAGTTTATGCTCTGCAGTTTTTCTTTTCTTTTTTTTTAGGATCATTTTGTATTTATACATTAGTGTGAATGATATTGTTAAAAATAAGTAGAAATAAGCAATGCAGAAAATGTTGCAGAAATTTTTTTTTAAAGGTTATATTAAGGTATAAATAAAAAAAAGTTTTTAGAAATTATTTCTAAAAGATTACTATTTTGCAATTCTTCTTGATTGTAATTCTAATCAGGTGACTATTAGATATATAAAATTTATTTCAGTGCAAAACACTTTTTTTCCTGAGATATTTAGATGAATTTTCCTTTCTTACTGTATATACTGCTCTGTTAAGCACATGTAACTAATATTTCACTGAAAATTGGGGCTGAATAAGTCACATGTAGCCAATCAAATATTTATATATTAACCTGAAACGTATATTTTATCCCAATATGAAAAATTTGTCATCAGGTTGAATTGTGGTTAGTTTCTATGCATTCCTCTTCATGGTGAAGTAGGAAGCCTGTTGTGTTAAATTGCTTACCCTAAAGTGTTTACACTCTAAAGCAGGGGTCAGCAACCTTTTCATCATCGAGAGCCCAAAATAAAATTTTAAATTCTTAGTGGATACCACTCGTTCAAGTTTCATAATCAAACATCATATTGCAAACTAATTTTGTGTAAAAGGTATAACTTTATTGAATTAAATAACAAATATTTGTAATTTATACTCTAAATAGATTTCTTTTTTGAAATGTCAGTTTGTAATTTGTCTGCTAACTTATTATAGTCGATAATATAATTTGAGTTGCATGTTCTTAAACGATTGTCTAAGTGTGAATCAGTAAGTTTTGAATGATACTTCAAATAAATCATGTTCAAAAACAACATTTAACAATTATAGGTACTTCAGCAATATGAATTAATCTTTATTCCACATGACTTTAAGGATTTTTGTTTACCAAGCTCCAAAATATCGTATTGGTTTCATAAGATTTTAAAATAACATCATTTTGCAAGCATACTAATTCTAAGTTTTCCATGTTGTTAAGAAGAAAATAATTAAATATTTTTGTAGCTGTGTTTTCGCCATCACTAATGTTAATGGGATTTAAAAAGAATTTTAAAATAGGCTGTAAATTTGCAAAATCTAAAATCAAATTTAGTTTTTGCGATGCGTACACAATTTGAAGATATGAGTCTGTATTAATATTTTGCTCTTTCAGACTTTCAGACTGCCCTTTTTCGTAGTAATGGGGAAATGCGTTAACGATTTTCTTAAGAGATAAGACCTATACAATTCTAACATTGACTTGAAGCTGTTGATGTGATTATTCCTGCCCTGTAATTTGAAATGTAGCTCATTAAATTGTATTAAATCAATCAAAAAGCTAGATTTGTTAATCTATTTTTACATTTCAGCTATTTGTAGTTTTTTCCTTGGGATGTTAGAAACTCTTATATTTGTGGTAACAAATTGATAAATCGCTTAAGCGTGTTATCGTTGCTCAGCCCCTCAATGTGTAAAAAGAAGTTCGGTAAACTGTGTATCTTTACATCATTTTCCTAAAGCAGTTTAAATCATCTGTGTTGCACTTCACTTGTCATTATTACTGAAATAATTGATAATTTTTGTAACAACAAAATTACATTTTGGAATTCAGTTATTTTTACACACAGCGCTTGCTGATGTATAATGCAGTGATGTTCTAGATTTTGGCAAAAAAAAGATCTTGTTGCCATAAAGGAATGAATCTGATATTCTTCCCTCTCATTGCTTGTGCACCGTCATTGTTATTGAAGATAATTTCTCGGTCGGTATTTTAGCATTAATCAAAATTGTTTTTATTGCGCAAAGTAAGTCTTTTTCTCGTTTGCACTCTTAAAGTGGTAGGATTTTTAGAAATTCTTTTATGGTAAAATCATCAAAGGCCATGTTTGATGCTTGCCAATTGTTCAATATCTTTCGATTCATCCAATTGTAAGAGGAAAAAATGCACATTTTTTCATATCTTTTATTAGTTGTGTTTCTATGTGGCCTGTGATCATTTTAATTCTCCTTGTAACAGTTCTAGCTGACAACTTGCATGGCATTTATGGGCTAAACAATTTCTTTTTACTTCCTTGTTCAAAGTAAAGGAAGTATTGTAATCACGAAATATTCCATGTACCATATTTCAATGAAAATATCTATTTTGATCACTATCGAATGCAATTTAAAGATGTTTTTGCACGACATCTGTACATAAGGATAGAATAAAGGACTCTTTTTCCCAAAACGAATAATAAAACTGATTTAAAATGGATTCAGAAGATAATTTTTCTGTGGCGTCCGTCTGTATATATATCTTGTATAACTCAAAAATGAGTAGCCTCAGAATGCTGAAGTTTCGTGTATAGGACTGCCTCACCAAAAGCATATAAATATATATAAATCCACTCTGTTTTTTTATTCTTATATGTTGGTAAGTTGTGCATTATTTGCTTTATAAATGAGTGTTTTATGTTGTTCTTATCTTCTGGCTAAGGTTTTTATGCCTTTATAGTTAATCTGCATGCAATATTTGCAAAATTATCAACAATTTAAAGTTGTTTAAGTGCAGCTAAGCCTTTTTTTTTTTTTTTTTTTTTTTTTTTTTCTTTTGCTAAGTGGGACCAAAAGGAAACTTAGTTTTGTACACCAAAAATTCTGCCTTCTTGCCTGTTGGCTGAATTGCTTGTTTATGTGTAGAAACTGTAATTTTAATTGTAAAAATTGTGTTTTTTTAATTGTATTTGGTGTTTTATGTTTTTCTATATCTTTCAATTTTATTGAAAATACTTTGAGTTTTTATATATTTTTGCCTTGCCGTGAAGTGAGAACTGAATTAACTGAATGAGGAATATATCTCTAACAAAATCTGAGGAAATAAGTTTTAATGAAATGAAGGAAAAAAATGTGTATAGTTTAATATTTCATACAAGGAAGTCATGTGATGTACACATCAGCTTTTTTATTTTTAAAATCTGCGAAAAGTACATTTTCAGATTCCAACATTGCTTCTGATTAAGAATAAATTCACAAAAACAGAGGTAAGCGGACTGTATTATTACTTATTTATTTTACATAACACTTTGAAATAAAAGAAATGACGTCCATGTGACGATACAGCACACATCACTCAAAGCACTGTAGCAATTTAAAAAAAAGGGGGGGACATATAAAGCACATTTTTTTAAAGTACGTTACTATAGCAACCACAATTGAATCATCAGGCAGTAGCGCCATCTATTGTTGCCAGGACACATTAGTAATTCGTTTGGTAACAAAAAAAATACTAAACGTAGCCCCCAGCCTTGAAGCCTTCTAAGGGTTCAAAAAAAGACAAATAGTTAAAGCATACATAATAATATTAACAAAAAATTCATTAAAAATAGAACTAAAATCTAACGTAATAAACTAACGTCAGGATTTCGGCGATTCCGGATTATAGATCATCAGTTTAAATCTCGTAAGATGGCATGCAGAAATTCTAAAATTAAAAATATGAAACCGTAATTTATGAAATAAAGAACAATTATGATCTAAAGGGTATCAAAATTCACAAAAAAAAAAAGGCTTAATATTTATTTGTTTACTTTATTAAACATTTCTTTCATTGTAAGTTGTTTAAGTTGCTTCGTTTTATGTGATAATACTTTCTCTTTAATTCTATAAACAGACATAATTTCTTGTTCAGTTACAAAGTTCCGCTGTTCAAGTCCCGTAATTGCTGTGCCGAAAATACCGACTAACTTGTCAATTGAAATTTTTTCGTTTTCACTATCCTCTCTGTCACCTTCTTCATGTCTTTATCCATTTTTTGCAGCAATTCCACTTTTTGTTTGATGGACATCGAAACATACTTTTGTTTTGTAGATCCTTTGGGAGCTCCAGCATCGGAAATTCTATTTGACATAATCGAAAGTTCAAGTTTACTTTTATAACATTGCTCTTACAGTCTGCAAAAAATAATAAGCCGCATCCAATTCAAAGATTAAGGAACAACGCAATCATCAACATTAACTGAAATAGATAATTTTAGCTTATACCATCCGTTATACATTAAACACACACGCGAAAACGTATTCTGCGCTTGTGCACATGCATATGCGCAGTCGTAAAGGTCTTACATGCACGCATAAACGCCTATGCACATGTATCAACGCGGCGCATGCACAGAAAGTTTTTAGCTTTGAGGTCCGAATTAACGACTTTTGACTGTATTAGTCATGATTGGGGATAAGACACAATTTAGTAACAGCTTGTTTGAAATCACCAGCAACTGTATGGAGTGTAGCCACTCAAACTTTTTTATCTCTGCCTGGATGAATTAAGGCAATTCTTCCAATTTTCCATTGGTTTGGAGGCAGTTGTTCGTTTTTGATCAGAACTAAGTCACCACATTTTAGATTTGGAGACGCACGAAACCACTTAGTACGTTGTTGAATGGTTGTTAAATATTCTGCACACCATCATTTCCAAAAATGTTGCACAGTCTGTTGAACTAGAGACCAGCGTTTAAGTCTTGAAGATTTCACATCACTTAAGTTAGATTTAGAAATGGCAAGCAAAGGGGCTCCAATCAGAAAATGACCTGAAGTCAATGCATTTAAGTCGTTTGGATCACTAGACATCGCACATAGAGGACATGAATTCATACATGCTTCCTCTTGTGTAAGCACTTAAAAATTTCTCGCAAGTTAGAAGTGTGGAACCTAATACTCGTTTAAGACGAAATTTCATGGATTTCACATTAGATTCCCACAAGCCACCAAAGTGAGGAGATGTCGGTGGTCGAAGTGAGGAGATTAAATAACCAAGTTATACCTTCTGAGGTAATGTACGAGGGCAATCCCAAAAAAAAGGGCTCCTATATTTTTAGATATACAAAGAACCGTTTATTTTCTAT